TTTGGGGGAACCCAACAGTGTGTAGTCGTACAATAGGAAACCCCTCCTCAACAAGATCTGCTGACTGTTCTCCCCATACTGAAGGTTAGCTTGTGTGCACTTATAAGTCCTTTACTTTAGGTTGCATGTAAGTCAAAGAGAACGTAAACAGGAATCCAGTGGTTCCATGGAAGGAGGGTTGTTGTCTTGTAATCTTTGTGTCTCTTCGTTGTACCTTGAAAGTCTGTACGGCTGAATGTGTCTCCTAGTTTTAACTCTTCCCCCCTCTCTAATTCTATTTGGTTCTTTTGCTTTCTGGGAGTCCCCCAAAGGGATGTCTTCTCCATGACTCATCCCCAAACTACCAACACCCCATAATGAAACCTCAAATCACCAAGACAGCTGATATGTTCATGATGCATTCACAGTCCTCTTTACAAGAATTAATGACTAGACAGATGACTTAAATGAGTAGATGCACTAAACAAGTCTAGTCCCTCACAAGACAATCTCCAAAGTGAGCAAAATAGTCAACTGGGAAAGGAAGTCCAAACACAGAGGGAAAAAGTCATCAAGGAAATTGACACGCTGGAAGTGAACCAAGCAGAAGTTCTGTAATTGAAAGAATCAATCAGCCAATTAAAAACTACAACAGTAAGTGTTGGCACAAGAAAAGACCACAGGGAGGAATAAATTTCAGCAACGGAGGACAAAGCAGAGACACAATAAACCCGGACGCAGACACAGGAAGACAACTAATGAATGGAAGAGGAAGGAACCCGGGACCTTTGGAAATCTGTTCTGTGAACAATCTTTTCACCGGGGATCTCATGTTCAGAGCAGCGGAGTCCTGGCTCTCTGCTGTCCATCTGTGGCCCTCGAGAAAGCTCCAGGGGGCTGACTCTAGGCATGGAGCCAAGGCCCAGCTGAAATCCTGATTCATTCAGGCAGTTCTTCCTGACCCGTCGATGGGTATGCTCTCTCTCTTGCTCTCTCGTGCCCCCCCCTTCTCTCACTCCTGGAAACTCCTACTGTTTAATTTCCTCTTGGAACACTATTCCAGTTCTGCCTGATAGAGTATTAGGTACACTATGTTTCCATCAGACTCTGAGTTCCTCAAGGCAGGGTCTACATCTTACTACTTGGTTCATAAGTATCTAAACCAGAGTCTGGCACACAGTAAGTGTGCAACCAACATGTGGAACTGAAGCAAAGTTAGTCTATTGAATCTCATTAGGCCTTCTCCAACTTGTGTGTTGTGCACAGCAAACTGTAAGTGTGAGACATCTGCCTGCTCGTCCCTCTTCCGCTGGTTTCTGTTCATGTCACCTATCCCCATTCAAATTTCAGCTTCTCTCCCTCCCCAGATGCACCTTGTCTTTTCTATTTTCCATATCTCACTGATTGGCAATTATAAGGTAAGGTACTAAAACTAAGATATGAAATTAATTTGACAATGAAGCATAATGCATTAACAACATACCTATGGCTCTTTGGCATATTTGATCCTTTGAATGACAGCGGCTGTCAGCTAAGAGCTAACACTGGTGAAATCCTGCTTCTGCAGTAGGTACAGAGAGGCCATGCTCCAGAGCAATGGTCCTCATGGTTCGACCCACAGGTCAGAGATGGATGCTTCATCTCTTGTGCTGTCTTTTTAAACAACTGGGTGTCTTCAAAGTACCAAGCACAATGCTAACTTCCAGAAACGGAATGGAACTTGCCTCAGCTCAAAATATAAAAGAGACTCAACAGCTTCATGGATAATTGAACATACAAGGATAACTAATAATTTCCATGCAAAGAAAAAGTATTATGTTTACAGTTAATCCCTGTGCCCTAAACAATTATAATCTGGGGCACATACTCTGGACCTAGCTATTGTATAAAAAACAAACTAGCAAAAATAAAATAACCCACTAATAAGTTAGGCCACTAAGTACCCACTAAATTTCACGGTTAAACACAGGCTGGTAAATAGAGAGATCTTCTTTCATAGGACCGGGAAGATGGCTGACTGTGTGTTGGCACTTTCATCTATACCTGAGGACCTGAGCTCCATCCCTGGAACTGACATGGTGGAGAGAACCAACTTCTGAAAATTTTCCTCTGACCTCCATACATGCATGGCATATGCACACTCATGTTCTTCCAAATAAATAAATTAATGTTAAAACTTGTTTTTTAATCTTCTACAAAGTCTTCCTGAGGACCCTGTCCCCTTTCAGATCTTAGTTGTAAAGAGTGACAGCTATACAGCTAAGAAGAACCAGAACCTGGAAGCCAATGAAATTGATCATCACACTTAATCCTCAAAGGACAACGGAGACCTTTTTCTCACTATAGCTTTACATACAGGGAAGCTGGGCTAGAAAGGTTAAATGGCCCTCCCAGAGCCGATCAGTGGTAATGTAGAATTTAGGATGTCACTTCCACTAAGGCTGGCACATTACAATGATTCCATAACCAGTCACATACATTTGTCATCCTCTTCTGATAAATCCTGGGAGAGCAATGGACCAACATTTTGTTCTTTATATTTCTTCAGTACTTTGACTGTAAGCTTGAGAACCACTTGGTGAGTGAAGAGAAAGAGTGTGGCAAACAAGAACTCCAGGTGAAGGAACACAAAGAACTCACAAAGTGGTTGTCAGCGTCCAAGAGGCCTCCAGCACCAGCACCTCCTCCGAGCTGCCTTCCTGCGCAATCCTCTCCCACTGTGAATCAGTGCTATCCTCCTCTGTGAGCAGCTGAGTCTCCTCCCTGGCTATGTCAGGAAAAGTAACTGACAGGTCTCTCACTTGTGCCAGCAGCACCATGGAGACCCACATAAAGGACAACTGATTCACCAGCAGTGACTTGTTTGGCTACTGGAAATAGCTGCTTTTAGGGTAGAGCATCTAACCCTGGGGATATCTCAGCTAGCATCTGAGTCCAATCCCATGGTAAACTATGAACCAAAACTACACAAGTGAATTGCTTTGGAGGACTAAGGCATAGAACTCATGAGGGAACAAATGACCGTTCTAAGTCATTAATGTTCGGAGGTTATTTCTTACACAACATAATTGGCTAATACAAAAGACACTGAGGGTGATTCCACAAATGAAGAAGGGCTAGAGATAGAAGGGTCAAAAGAATTGTGAGTCAAAGACAGGCAAAGGAATGGCAAAAATGGAGGAAATCTTACGGTGAAGATGAGCAGAAGTCTTAAGTCATTTGCCCAGCCACTCGTCGAAGGCTAAAGTCCATTGACAAAACAATAAAACCAACTCAGAGCTTGCATGAATGTAACCTGAAACCTAGACAACCAATGTCCAAGGGCTGGCCTGCACGTGGTGAGGAATGGGGACACAACTCTTCATTATCTGCCCTTCACTTTCCGTGGTTTCTGTTACGTACAGTCATCCACAGTCTGACAATCTTACATGGAAAACCAGAGAAATGAGTAACTCATAAGTTTCAAACAGCTTTTCTATTGTACATTGTTATAACAATACGTAAGTTGTAATTAGGCTAAGGGGAGAAAAGGGTACCAGTCACACCAGGGACCATCCTCTGCAGCTGATCTCAGGCATCGCTGAAATGAACTGAAAGCTGACGGTGGGGCAGGACTGGGGGTAGAACGTGATTGGCTGCGATGCTGTGAGGTAGACACTGCTCAGAGAGTTTTAAACACCTCATTCTAACCCCCAAACACCATCATAGCCTCAGATTAGCTCAGCTCTCTTTCTCTTTCTTTCCCAGAAGGTGAAACACTCCATCCTACTGATCTAAGGCAGGAACAACTGACAAACTACAGGAAAGGGTTAACTCCTCATGCTCCTAAACCCTCCACCGAGGAAGGAAAGTCAGAGTATCTGGTAGAGGCTCCAGCAGACAGGAGAGAATCCACTAGCACACTCACAGCACAGCACCCTTTTTACTGAGCATGTGTGAGAACGAACTTCCTTCCTGTTGATTAGTGTGGCTCTTCAAAGATTAAAGAAATGTATCCTAGAGAAGAGTTGGAATTTTCACCCCCACGACTTTCTGAGTCCTGAGAGAAGTTAATTATTTTAGAGGCTAGTAATGAATTCCCCTGGAGGAGCAGCCCCTTCCTTACGTGTTTGGACACAGGCATCGGCCTTTAACCACAGAAAAGCATGGGGAACTGTGTTCTGTGGGAACAACCTGTAAAAGACACTGCGGTACACACATGGTACGTGGGACAGGGCAGAAGGGGGCTCAGAGCAAAACCCAAAGGTGTCAACTTTTGACCACTGTGTCATGGCCATGTGAAAAAATGCCATCTGCTGGAATGAGAATAGGCAATAAGGTCTTTAAAGTCTACTCAAAGTATTTAAAATAGCTGGCTATCCCACTGAGAAAATAAGACATAGTTCAACTTTGTGTGTCTGTGCAAATATATATATGTGTATTAATGCACACATGCGTGGAGAATTGGGCAGATAGAAAAGACAGCAGATAAAGGCTTATAGAGTAGTAGTCAAAACACCTCGGCACCTTAGTTAGAAAAGCCAGTCCTTCAACAATGACAAGCTTCAATGCTGTTGATGAGAATAGGCGCAAAGGGGAAACCAACCGGAGAGTCCAGGAATGTTCACTACGAGTGTCGGGCCAGTGGAAAATGCTGGAAAAGTTTCTCTAGATAAAAATGATTATAAAAATCCTTTGTCAAGAAAGTGATTGATTCCTTAAAATAACTGGCTGCACATACTGTCAGGTATCATTAGCCAAGAGACAAGCGTGATTGCAAATGGCTGCCCTGCTACCCAAGACCCAGGATAAAAGAGAGCGCTATGATTCAGTGACAGCAAGTTCCCAGAGATGTAGTCTAGCACAGGAGAGTTCATGCTGTACCTCTTGGCATTTACCTCAGCCCCAGGCCTACCAGGCAGCGGGTTTATGTGTGTGGCTAATGTGAATGCTAACAATAACAGAGCCCGCATCATGTCTCCTCACAGAGCTAGAGTCAAAAGGTTCGAGGACCCCAGTGTTTCCCTGCTGTGAGCTTTTACCATCATTGAAGTTATCGCTGGTAGCCACATGGGTAAATGGTGACTGAGCCCGGGGCTCCTCGCTCAGAGAGTAGCTGTGTTCAGCCTGGATGAGAGGCGCTGGTGATGTTGGAGACGGCTCCACCTCCATCGACACGCTCTTCTCTGAGAGGAAAGGATCATTCAGGAGCTGACCCAAGACATTCTGGGAAAACTCATCCAGGAGCTCCGAGAAGTGCTGCAAGAAGCAGAGGAGGAATAAGTCAGGTTCTCTTACTCTTGATACCGACTCTCCACACACATACCGCAAGGCAAACAGACATTCGGCCACTCATAAAGTATACTTGTCTGTCTCTGTCCATCCAACCACTGCAGTGGAGAGAAGGCTCTGTTGGTAAACTGTTGGCTGTACAAGCATGAAGACCCAAATTTGATCTCCAGGACACACATGAAAGCACACACATGATGGCATACATCTGTAAAGCCAGTGCTGGGGAATCAGAGTCAGGCTGACTCCCAGGGCTCACTGGCCAGTCAGACCTAATTGAGGAACCTCAGAGACAAGGTGAACATCCCCTAAAGAAGACACTAGGGTTGACCTCTGTCCTGTGCACACACATACACATGCAGATGCAACCGATGTTTAGTGGCTTAAATTAACCATAATTTATTATTCCTTGTCACTCTGTGATTGAGTGAGGAACTGACTTTATCGAGGTGCCCTGGTACAGTCACACCGACCTGCACGCTTGGCTAGGGTTGGGCTAGGCAATCTGGGTTCTCATTCAAGGAAGCTAGGTGTGGCTCCCTGATAGAAATGTAGAAATCGTCCATCAAGGACAGCATGGAAAATGAATGACCTTAGAATCATACATCACTGTCACACAACGTCCTGTCTCCAAGGAATCCCTAGCCACAGCAAATGATGAGCTAGCCTAGGGTCACAGGGTGGCACAACACAACTAATTCTTGGGAGAAAAAAAACAATGGTAAAATGCACTGCAGACAAGTGTGCACGGAGGATGGTGTGATTCCCTGAGGGTTGTCGCTGTAATGATCATCCACATTCTGCGCTAGTGACATCAGACCACTACAGTGGGCTGGAGAGAAGCTATCCTCTATTTCCACAGCATGAGAGAGTGGCTATCGCAAGGTACCTGCAATAGAAGTAGTGCTGTTAGTCTGGATCTAGAATGTTCTCCCAAAAGTCTGTACGTCAGAGGGAGTGTGGGGCCTAGCAGAGGCCCTTCAGATCATGGATGAAATGCTCTTAAAGGGGACCCTGGAATCTTCCTTTTCTCCTTTTCACTTTTCAGCCATGAAATGAGCAGTCTTGCTCTGCCATGCACTCTGACATGAAGGAATGCTGGCTTGCCCAAAGCAACAGCATCAGCAGAAACCAATTAGGCAAAGAGATCAGCTATGCAAAGTGGCCAATTATGCAAAGGGATCTCTACAACAGAAGCCTAAGGAAACATTTTCTCTTTGTAAATGGATCCTATCAGACAAGCAAGCATTGCAGTAGTGGTAAGTAACTAATGGCCCATTTCTCTCTGCTCTCCTGTTGTATGACATCTAATCATACTGTGAACCCAGAGATTGTGTTATTTACTGGGGGAAAAGCTTCTAGTTGTGGAGTGGCTCAGCCTTAGCACACACCTTTAATCCCTCTGCCTGGAATACAGTCACACACTTAGTATACAACTTTAATCCCAAAGAATGAAGGTAAAGTTAGTTTGTAGAGGGAAGCAGCCATGTTTGAAAGTGAGTGGCAAAGTGACGATCCAGAGAAAGATTTGGATAGGATATGCCCAACTCTCAGGAGAAGAGCAGAAAGGGAAGCTACTTAAGGGGCAGTGCAAATAGAGAGAAAGCAGAGTGGGTGGGGGAGGATGAGAAGGAAGCAGTTTTACTGGGAGAGTTTTACAGAGACAGGTTGCAAAGAGAGAACAAGCTAGACACAGGTAAAGACAGAGTGAGCCAGAGAATGAGCAGGAGATAGAAGATTAGAACATTGCTAGAGTTAGTTTCAGCCTAAGCAGAGCAATTCAGGAGAGACTGAGATAGATTAAATCAGTCAGCTTGGAGAAGAGTGTTGAGACAGAACAAGTGAGTTGACCGGACAGCCAGAGCTCAGAAAGAACCAAGAAAGGGTGAGCTTATTCAGCAGCAAGTCTCAGAGGCTGAGAACATTCTAGGCCTAGATAACATTGTATGGAGGCTAGGAGCTTCCAGGACTAGGCCTAGGTTAGCAGACAGAGGCAGTGATCTTCAGGCAGATAAAAGATACTTTTACACTCTCCACTAGAATTGCTTCTCTTTCAGATTTCATTAATCTCTTGAACAGGTTTCCATCCTCCATATCTAATTCTGTTGCCTTCCAAGCCTCTGCCACGCCATGGACAGGCTATAGGAGCAGCCTATATGTAACATGTGGGGTTACTACGTCCACTGCCCCACAATGAAGGAGATGTGTACCAGTGCTATGAGGGTCTTCACCTCACACTTCTGACTACACTGTCGGTATGCTGGACTAGATAATTCTTCTAGTTCTGGTGTGGAGGTAATGGCAGTGGCATGTGTGTGTGGCAGAGGCAGGGGCTAGGGAAGGTTGCTCTGCATGTTGTAGGGCGTTTAGCAGTGCATTGCTGACATATTGGACTAGACAGTCACGTTTTGTGGTACTGGTGATGACAGCAGTGTGTGTGTGCTGTGTGTGTGCTGTGTGTGTCTGCGTGTGTGTGTGGGGGGGGTCTGTGGGGAAAAGAAGGGGAGGTTGTTCTGTATGCTATGGAAAGCTTTACAGCATCCTGAATCTTCTCTGCCTGGATGTCAGAAACACCCCCTTGAGTATGACAACCAAAGATTCCTCCCCAAACTGCCAAGTGTCAAAAGCATCTCCACACTGAACCATCCTCAGCACCTATAATTCTACGCACACTTCCCTTTTCAACAGGAAGACGGCTCCACTCCCATCACCATCCTGCCACCTGTACCACATTTGTCCTCGGACACCAACCGTCCTTAGAGGCTGTGTCCAAGATGAGAAAAGTCACAGATTTTGCAACTACCAAATGCCAAACTTGAGGAAGACTCAAGGACACAAAATAAATAAGACAGAAAAGGCCCAGGCCTACCCACGGCATGGCCACTTACGATAGGGCAAGGATATCTTAAACTTCTTCATACACAGAAACTGTCTGGAGAAACTGATGATGGAGATTCTGAATCACATGTATGAGTGGGGACCCAAGAACTTCTTTTGTAACCAGCCGGGTCCACCGAGGAGCAGGGCCGCTGTAAGGCTAAGATTTGAACCAGATTTCTGGTTATACAGTAAGCTAAGGTCAGTGTATGGTTTCCTAGACAGCCTACACTTCTGGCCTGATGAACTGACGGATGGTGATTATTGGGAGGTGTTTGACCGAGCTCCCTTTGAGAATAAAAATCACAGTAATAGAAAGGAGTAAATAACTCGAAGCATAAGATACAAAAGTGAGAACTGGATACAGCCTGCCCATTTCCAAACCGAAATTGTGTCCCAAGCTGCAAGGCCAACTCTGGCCAGCGAGGCTGGCTCTACTAAGCCTCTAGCATCCCGTTCCATCTGGAAGCGAGGCGAAGCTGCCTAGGTTGGCCTGCTCTGTTGACACCCTGTTTTCTTTCTCTGGAGCAGCACTAATGAATGTTTTCATGAGCATCCTCTCGAAAACCAATAATAAACCTCCTAGCTGTGTTTGCCCTCCTCAGGCTCCCCCTACTTTGGAAGATACAGTAATTAGTATGTTATGAAACAATTTAGCCCTAATGACAGGCAGCCCTGAAAAATTCACAGTCATTAACAAGTGCTTCATCATAACCTCCCCTCTGGGGAAAAGGGGATCCTCAGAAGCAAGGACTAACAGTGCCCAGCCACCCACCTTGGAATGAAGGTAACCACTGAGTGGAGTCAGGGACTAAATCAATATGCTCAGTTAGTCCCATCAGATGCCATGGCTCAGACCAGCAAAATGGTTCTAGGCAGTCTTTGGCCTTGGGAACCAGATAGGTCAGCCTCCTCCTGCTGGTACAGAGCTCAGGCTAGAAGCAGTGCATCACTAACGCCAGCCAGATAGCGAGGCATTATGGTCTGGTGGTCCAAAATCAGAGAAAAGAACAAAGTGGACCTCAAAGAGGGAGTTCTTCTGGACCCTTCAGATACTCTAATAAGTAACTCAATGCTTATATAAATGTAGTCGGTTCTGGAGAAAATAGCATACCATTTTACCACCCTACCTGTTAATTAACCAAGCTTTACTAGTTTAGTTCTATAGCCTGCTCCATACTCCATGATCACAGCAATCTTGTGAAGTTGCCTAGCAACCCACAGTCCACTATCTCATTCATCTATCACAAGACCTTGAACTAGGGTCCTCTCATTTCTAACTGACGGGACTTTCCCCCACCTTGCTTCTCCTAGGGAAGGGATATTTGAGTCTCACGGTTGAGATATATGGGAAGTTCTTCACGGTAGCTTAGGTAGCATGGTAGGCTCGCCTCAGGACCTGAGTGGCTGGTCTATCAGATCTTCTCCTACAAGACAGACACATCTCTGGATCCATGAGAAATCTGTGGCTTACGATGTTTCCGCACTTTGTCCAGGGTTATGCTGTTGATGAAGGATGGAGCTGAGGTTCCATGCCAAGCCCAAGGGTTTCCATACTCTGTGCACTTTTTATTACAGCATGTTGTCTCACTGCAGTCTGCCTTTAATGCTAAGCAGACAGACTCACAGACCGACCATCTACTAATGAGCACATAAAAACTGGACAAATATATCGAAAGAGTTTGGTGGAGAAGTACCTAGTAATGCCTTCTATGATCCGTGAGCAGAAGAGATGGAGGCATTTCTGCTACAGAGTTCAGAGTCATCTGGGCTAAACCCAACTTCCTAATATGATGTGTCTCATCCAGCTCAGCTCACTTCTTTTAAAGATTTATAAATGGTGTCAACAATAATAAAGGCACAGTAAGAAAAAACTTGTTTTTTTTCTGGTCAAGAGGATGAAATCTCTGGCCTGGGTGGAGACCTTAGCTTCCAGTTGGGCTGGTCGAGGAGCAGCCTATGAGACCAGCCCTAGGAAGGCAGTCTCATTTTAAGTCATACCAAAGACACAGAGTAACAATCCCTCCTTTATAAAGATAATGGATTTACTATTTCTTCTCAGAATTCCAGCCCCCACCTAGCAAAGCAGCTTA